CCCCCCCCAGTAGGGGAATACTGTCATAGAGATGTGTTCACTACTGTACCAGAATTTGAGTCTCTGTGGACCATTTTTAAATTTTCCCCCTCAATGTGGAGGGCAATCCTGAGACATTTTCACCCTCTGTTTCCAACTGTCATTATCTGTAGACCAAAATAACTCATACCAGTAGGAAGAGTACATACATAAATGTCTGTCCATTGTACATTTTATAAACTTTAAACGCATTTGTTATATCCACAGAAGGTAGTATCCTTGAGACATGGGAAAGCAGAGAAGGAAGACTTTTTGCCTATGAGCTTATCATGAAGTTCCTGATCAAGAATCACTGGCTGTATACATTTGGGCCTGCAGGATCTGGGGCTGGATTGGACTGGGGGGACAGGCCGGTAGGGGTGGACACAGACAGGGAAATGCTGACCGGTTTGGAACAGGGGTAAATAAAGTACAGTGAAACCCCACTTACTCGAACTTGCATAACTCGAATACCCGCTATTCCTCCAATAGTTCGTTTTGTACAGACTGTGTTCTTATATATTCTTTGTAAATTAACCTCAGATCACTCGAACAGCCATTGCTCAAATACCCTGTATTCCTTGAACTCTGATTTATCCTCGACCACTCAAAACCTTGTAGACACACCCGGGCGTCAGATAATTAGAGGATTAACAACAGTATCATTAAGTAACTGTACCGTTACCCTGTTGTAGCTGCATTATCATTTTGTGTGCAAATTTATTATTTCCACAGTGTTTTGACATCGATGATTTGGTGAAAAGGTTAATTTACTGGGTTTGTAAAACCATATTTCGGCATGGCAATATTAAGCAGATATAACATAGCGGATTCTTGACCATCTTTAAAGATATTGACACTTGAATACGCTATGATTGTTAATTTCGTTGTCAATCAACATAATAACAGGGATTGAAAATTTTCTTCATTCTAAAATGATGGAAGAGTTCCTTTGGTTTTGATATTTTGTAAAATTAACCTAGCCAATTGCAGTATGGAGGACTATGTCAGAACTAGTACGTTACACATGCAGCTCTTTAATTTTATTTCCTTCCAATTACTATTATGTTTTCATTATTCAGCTATTTTATATCTTATTAAATGTTGTCATCTGTGTTGAACTTCTTTTTTGCTTCTCTCATCTACTTTCCGCGGTAATTGCAGTGCTCATACTGTCTGTCGTCCCATCTGATAAAAAAATGACAATGTTGATCAAACCTCAGATTTTTTAAATACTGTGTATTCCTCAAACTTTTGATTTGTACCCCACGTGTTCGAGTTAGTGAGGTTTTACTGTAAAATGTAATAGGCATAGTGTGTCCTTCTTTCCCTCCAGTTTTTATTAGCTCACCTGGACCGAAGGGCCAAGTAAGCTTATGGCATGGTGCAGCGTCCGTCGTCTGGCATCTGATAAAAAAATGACAATGTTGATCAAACCTCAGATTTTTTAAATACCATGTATTCCTCAAACTTTTGATTTGTTCCCCACGTGTTCGAGTTAGCGAGGTTTTACTGTAAAATGTAATAGGCATAGTGTGTCCTTCTTTCCCTCCAGTTTTTATTAGCTCACCTGGACCGAAGGGCCAGGTAAGCTTATGGCATGGTGCGGCGTCCATCGTCTGGCGTCCCTCCGGCGTCAACTTTTTACTTTAAACAACTTCTTCTCAGTAACCAAAAGGCCTAGGGTGATGATATTTGGCCAGATGCATGCTTGGATGAAGGGCTAACAAGTTTGTTCAATAAATGACCTTCATCAATTTTTCAAGGTCACAGGGGTCAAATATGTTAAAATCTTAAAACAACTTCTTCTGAATAACCAAGAGGCCTTGGATGATGATATTTAGCCAGTAACATGCTTGGATGAATGGCTTCCAAGTTTGTTCAAATGAATGACCTTGCCGTATATTCAAGGTCACAGGGGTCAAATATGTTAAAATCTTTAAACAACTTCTTCCGAAAAACCAAGAGGCCTAGGGTGATAATATTTGGCCAGTAACATGCTGGGATGAAGGGCTACCAAGTTTGTTCAAATAAATGACCTTCATCTTTTTTCAAGGTCACAGGGTCAAATATGTTCTATACCTTTAAACAACTTCTGAATAGCCAAGAGGCCTAGGATAATGCCAGTAACATGCTGGGATGAAGGCCTTCCAAGTTCAAATGAATGACCTTGACATATATATTTTAAGGTCACAGGGGCCAAATATGTTTAAAACCATTGAATTACTTCTTCTTAATAAGCAAAAGGCCAAGGGTGATGATATTTGGCCATTAACATGCTGGGATGAAGGACTACCAAGTGAATGACCTTAGCCCATATTCAAGGTCACAGTGGTCAATATATGTTTAAATCTTTAAATGATTTGTTCTGTATTACCAAAAGGTCCAGGGTAATGATATTTTTCCAGAAGCATGCTTGGTTGGAAGACTATAAACTCTGTTCAACCTAATATTATAATGTCCTTGTTCGACATTCAAGGTCACAGGTGTCATATGTTTAAATCTTTTAATAGGTTCTTATGAATGAAACACCGATATGTTGTCTGTAGCTGTATTTTAGTCCACTTTTAAGATAACAAGTGTGAGATTAATACCAGGTGAGCGATGCAGGCCCATTGGGCCTCTTGTTCTTTATTTCATTTTCTCTCTTTTATTTTACTTTTTGACTTTATATGAATGTCATACTCTGGTTTGCCTCTAGAATGTTTCTTTCTGCTTTAATGACTATCAGTATACAGTATGAGGAATTATATGGTAATAAAAAGATTACACCATACTTCTTTCAGACAAGAAATCCAGAAACAGAACACAAATGGCCATGACCTCCTAGAACGCAGAAATACACAGGTAAGATTTTACTCTTGTTTGGAGATATATTTTTAACTGAAGGGGTTCATGAACATGAGACTTTCTCTGTACATGCCCTTCATAAATTAATGTTGTATTTTCAGGAAATGTGCCAATGATTTGTAATTTGTATTATATAAATACTACATGTGTTAGAGTGTGACAGTGCCTAGGGTCACACTCTAATAAATTAAGTATTTATTTTATTATACCAAAAGTCAATAATCTGTGGGGAAATCTCACATCAAAACACCACAAAAAAAATAATGGCCCTCTGCATTAGAAATAGAGACTTACTGCTTCATTTTCACATTTCTGAGTATGCCTGTGTTTATCTAGCAGACGGGCTGTTACAAGTTTACCACAGCAAAGAAGCGCTTGAAAATCTCACTCATTTTAGCGTTAAAAGGTCGTATTAATCACAGGCGAGTAATACACAGTAGTGACATGGAATGCCTGTGGGTCTACAGGCGTGGTGAATCGCAATGGGAAAAAAAGCGGCTGAAATGAACGGTACCCGCATCTTCTTTGCGTGGTCACTATTTTGCACTGTCACACCACACTGTCGCCCGTTGCTAGGGCGTTGGGAAGCACCCTTACATTGACTCAATGTTAAACCACATGCAACAGTGTGAAATGAACAATTTGTCTTGACCAATCAGATTACAGAATTTTCACTAGCGGTATAATACAAATATTTATTACACATTTAGGTATAGTTAAGGCAACAGCTGACTATTATCGCCTAGTAGCTTACTTCATATAAACTTACTTTTTTTTTGATGATACAGTATCATATATTGTATTTTGTAGTTTGTTTTATCAACAAGCCCTCAGGAACCAATGCGTGTCTCCGAGTCAGAACTCTCCTTTGCAGTAAGTAGAGTTTCTAATTGGTATGCCGTTATTTTGCTTTAGGTATATATGCTCTTAATATTTTGCTGCCTATACATATATTACATTGTAGTCTATTAGTTATCTAGTCTATTACTGTATACCTTAAAGGAACAGTTATCATATGTAGCACACACCATATCAATACTGTGTGTGTTATCATAACTGATATCTTACAAGTTACAACAATTACAAATGTGCTGGTGAAGTATTCAAGTAAACAATGATATAAAATCTATTCTCATTTAGCAGCTTATGTAAACAAACAAGAAATTATAGGACTGTGTATGTTACTCTGAACTGTTTCACAGTTGACCTTCTGTCTAATGCTATAACTTAGTAGAAGTTTCATATGGTTATAAATGTTTTATCAAACAATAAAAGATTATATAAAATATCAATAAACTTAATCATGCTGATTCCTGGCAGCCATTTCCGTTTGTGACAAAATTAATTTAGTGTCCGAGAATGATTCACGCCAACACTCTTTTACTGTAATACTAATACTATACAACATTAGGAACTGAATTTGATGTCCCCAAGGTTATCAATAACAGTGTTTTAGCTGTAACATCATCATCATCATCATCATCATCAGATAATCCTCGTTTATAGTTATGTGGTCAAGATAAAAATGACATTTTGATTGTAGTGACTAGAGATTGTATGTTGTGTTATGTGCTAAGTTCCTGTGGGTCAAGGCTAACGATACTGTGTGTATATCATTTATAGCAAATGAGGAGAAAGTACTGGAGAAAGGTAGATTAGAGACAGCTTTTTATCCTTGTTACTATGGAAATGTTGTAGCCATAGTTACCACCCTAGCTGCTATGAATATGTAGCCATAGTTACCACCCTAGCTTGTTATTCTGTCTCACTGCTGCCCACCACGGTATGTGTTGCCTGGATAGTTCTGGCTGTTTGTTGTACAACTCACAATTGTCAGTGATCTGCTGTGAAAGACAATTACATTGTTCTAGCTTCATGTCTGTTTTTCAAAAAGAAACGATAGACCAAATTGTAAAACCTAATTCCTGAAGTATCTAACAAATTAACACAAAGCATATTTATTGTCAAGTACCTGTATTGATCAGAAATGAAACACTGTTGAATGACGTTACTAAGTGCACTACTTTAAGTAGGGATAGATGTTCAGACACAAACTCAGTGTTGTAGTTTACTTTGATTATGCATTTACATGTATCATTCTATATGAAAAGTCATGCAAAAACTTCAATTAAATTTTTCCATGTTTCAACTCCAATCAACAGGTATTGACAGCAATGACCGGTCGGATTGGTCAATAATTAAAATCTTTATCTCTTTCACAGTGACATCATGCAATATATATATACAAACTATATTTTACTACCCTTTCACCCCTATGTAACTTAAGTAGACTCTACTATGCATTGATTGGAATGAGTCCATTAGGGTCAACAGTGGTGAAAGGGTTAAAAGTAGTTGTACAACAAACAGAGCTTTTTGTTAGTTGCATGTCAAGTTTTTATAAGTAAAAATCAGTATGTCAGTCATTTTACAGAATTGCTCTTTGTTGCTGTAAGTCTATCGTTTACATCTGTTATCAAAACAGGTATTTCTAATGAGCAATTTAACAAGGATCATTGACGTTACTGACGGTTTCATTCATCCGGTCTTGGTCTGAAGGCAATCTGCAAATTTTAAACTCCTGCAAATAAAGAACTCTCTGCTGATGTTAATTTCTGGGAACTATTTGCCAATGTGAAAATCATTATAAAATCAAATGTAAGCACTTTAATACTGATACCTCGTACAGAGCAAGTGTTTACCAGTATCTGTTGGATGGGGCTCAATGCTGTATGCTTCGGTAGATTTTGTGAAGTATAAATGAAGTACTTGATGATAATAATAAAAATAATAATAATAATATACAACATTTGATAAAGCGCCCTTAGATTATAATAATTATAATAATATACAACATTTTATATATCGCCCTATCTAGCTAACATAAGCCACTCTAAAGTGCTTCACAGTACATAGATATACAATCAATACAATTAGCATATACATTAATCAATACAATTTTGAGGAATTCGCAGGAGCTGCCTCAGGTGCTAACTACTAGTCCTATGCCACCTGGCTAATATCTCCCTATGTGTGTGTGCCTGCATGTGTGCTGGAGATGTATTGAGATAATCCATGCCTTCATATCCTGGAAAACTGTTTTTAGCATATATTTAGAAATTATGTTTTGCTATTGGATTCTTTTGCAGTATTCCAGAAAATGTGTTGTTATATCGATGTTCAAACCAAAGTTCAACTTAATATAACGTTCCACTACTTCACTCTGTAATCTGGAATAAAATCATCATTTTGCAGGGAAAGAATTCATGATGAACACCTGTTCCTGTTAAATATATGAAAATGTCCATGTTTAACGTATATATTATAACAACAAATAAAAACATTTTCATAGATATTTCACATTTTCTGTATCTACCCGGTATCATGAATTGAAATATGCGATAAGTTTGTGATGAGGCTGCACATCCAGATAAGTTAAGGTTCAGACATGTAAGATGTATACGTACCTGTTAACCCTTTCACCACTGTAGACCATAATGAACTCATCCAGATGAATGTATGGTAAAGTCTACTCAAGTTATATAGGGGTGAAAGATTTAAGGGTCAACCCTAGCAAACGTTGTTTGAAGCATAGCAAGGAAAACTTAAGTCACATAATTATTATTTCTTTATACTGTAAAAGCATATATTTTCGTTGGGGTTTAATTTTGTTGTTTTTGTAGTGTAACAAATTCGTTGGGATTATATTTTGCGGAATCAATATTTTAAAACCCTGTTTAAATTGATCGGCGTGACGACACAGTACAGGTTAATATAGTACAGGTAAGATCAGGCTAGATTTACTCTCCCGATGGGTATCAGTCAGATCCGTCTCGCTCTATTCATATACATGTAGCTTATATACAAAGAGTGGTATACACATAATGTATACGTTGTAGACTCACATAGACTACAGGTATCTTGTCAGTAGTTGTCAAGAGGTTGAAGCTTTTCAAATAACTAGCTAACGATGCAATTGGAAAAAGCCAGTGACAATAATTACACCGTTAATCATGACTTTTGTCTAAATGTAATTACACCATGTATTTGTAATATAATTAATAGTTTATTTCATATTTTCATCTACTTTATACTTCATGTGTTTAAAATTTTGTTGGCATTATATATTTCGTGGTTTTATAAATAAACGAAATTAAATCCCAAGCGAAATATTGTGCTTTTACAGTAGATTTTTATATGGTTTTGGAACTGTGGTAACAGTTACTGCAAAATAATTTTGTAGATGGTAAAATTTTAAGTGTGTTTTATGTAAAGTTTCTTAGTGTGAAGTGGCTTGTACTCACAAAAACTGCAGTGTGGATCACACTACTGTCAGATGTTGAATTATACGTATCGGGAATATTAGTTTTACTGTCACAATGCTCCACGCCATACCCTGCATGTGTTATCCTACACTGGTGACAGTCACAGAAGATCCTTCTCATCCTTCTCATCCTTCTCATTTGTGTTTGGTTTGCAGAAACAGCTCTAAAATTCTCTTTTTCCTCATGTTATCCATTCCTTGTCATCAATGTTAGATATCATGTTAACTCTCTTGTTCTCTTGTTATCAATCATTTTCAGACAAGTTTGATCTAAGTGTTACATGTTATAGGTTGCAGTTTGATGAGTAAGTGATTTATAAACAACTATTTTCAAAAATACCCAACAGACCTAAATCCATGTCAGACATAGTGAATCTATTCTGTTGACATATGTCACTGTCAAGCGACTCTTATTTGTAATAATATGATTCTATTGATTTGTATGGGTTTCTATCAGTGATTGCTGTTCATATAGATCTATTATACTTTTTCATTTCTTTATTATATTCCATTGTTTAGTACACTGGACAAGATTTTGTTAGTCCCTTTCGTTCGTCTTGTCTACTGGATAAGACTTCAACACCCTCCTCCCCATTGTCTATTACACCACACAAGTTGTTTTGATTCTCCTTCCCCATTGTCTAGTACACCACTCAAGTTGTTTTGATTCTCCTTCCCCATTGTCTAGTACACCACACATGTTGTTTTGATTCTCCTTCCCCATTGTCTTGTACACCACACAAGTTGTTTTGATTCTCCTTCCCCATTGTCTAGTACACCACACATGTTGTTTTGATTCTCCTTCCCCATTGTCT